CCTTCCTGATACCACCCGTGCTATTTACAGACATGGGCGAGGGCCAGGGCTATCCCCAGTAGGATGTCAGCTCTGTGAGGACAAGGATTTGTTTGCCACCGTGTTCCAAGCACCCGGAATGCAGTCCGGCAAGTGGTGAGTATCCAGTCAGTGGTGGTGATGAGTGACCTCTGAAGCCCAGCCTGGCTCAGAGAGCATAGGGTAAGCCCAGCCATAGGCCAAAAGCACTGGGGTGAGGTCCTGGTTTTGTCTAGTCTTTATCAGCTCACCTCTCCCAGGTGGCTAAGGATTCCTTAGGATGAAATGATAGATAATGTGTGTAAGCTGTTAGCACAGCACACAGTAGGTGCGGCGGTGAGGTTCTTCCACCCTTCCCCAACACCCCCCCCCGCCCCCACCACCAGTGTGTCAGGGTAGGGGGCCACCAGCTGGTCTCAGTTCATTTTCATTCCCTTCCACAGGTCCTCTGGGGCCGGATGCCTGCAAACCACTCCTCCTGATGGCCTTGCCAATGCCCAGCCACTATACGCCCTGAGGAGCAGCCAGGCAGGGCACCCAGCGCCTCCCTCACCTCCAGCCTTCTCAGACTGGAGCCCTTGCAGGTAGCTCCTTTGCACTCTGGCCCTTCCTGGGGTTTTGTGAGCTGGTTCTCTTTATTAACTACTTTCCCCCTTGAAACAGTGGGAGTGGAATGTTTCCTGCCTTGACAATGAATTTTGCAGAGTTTCCTGAGGGCACAATTTGGTGGTGGAACGGGGCCAGGGCATGTGCTTAGGTGGCATCACAATGGAAGCTGGTAGGACATGACCCTGTCCTCCTCAGCTTGGCCAACTTGGGTGGGCCTTACCCCTTGAGAGAAACTGATCTTCCCCCACTCACCTCTGTCCTCCCCCCACTCCCAGACAGCCCCCAACAGCAATAATAACCATAATAGTGACGGCCATGGGGAAGGGACTTCTCAGTACCTCACAGACATGCGCTCGTGTCAGTTCATTTACCCCTCACATGTTGTTTGGACAGTGCGATTAGCCTGTTTTGCAGATGAGAAAACTGAGACACAGGATATGGTATCGTTTACGTGGCTAAGTGGCCAATCCAGGACTCAAACCCATCCTGGTTTGCTGTGGCTCCAGGGGCTGCGCCTCTAATTACAGCTCTGTGCTCTCTCTTTCAAGCATCTGTGCCAGCAGCTCCAGCTGCAGATGAGACTTCGGGGCCCTTGAGGGGTAGAATGAAGAGACGGATGATGAGTTGATGCTCATTACGTGCTTGAGAATTCGCAAAGGTCCTTTCTTCAGCCTTTCCTTATCATAATCATTTCCACTTCCCTGCAAGCCCTGCAGACCTTCAGCATGTGGCCCTCTTCCGGTGACAGTGGAAGAGATTTCTCTGCACTGGGAGAACAGACAACTGGGTATGGAATCCGCAGAGAATACGGGACAAATCCCAGCTCCCTCCACTGCCTGAGCATCCTGGAAACGTTCTGTGCCCTCTGCAGGCTTCAGCTCCCAACTGTAAACAGTGTGTGGCTAGAGACCTTTAAGGGGGGCTCTTCCACACTAACATTCAAGCATTTTGCTTTGAAGACAGTTTGAAAACCAAGATCTTTGGTTGTGGCAGAGGGGTGGACCGCACACCATGTTCCACCAAATCAAGCTGAGCTAGGCATGCCAGCCACCAGCTATGTGGCACAGAGACCCAACTAAGCCCAGTGGGCATAGGGGAGCTTGTCCTGCAATAGTTTTGAAAACCCATAGAGTAGACCATAGGCCTGCCGAGGCTTCAGCACACCTGCTGGTGCAGGGCTGCCCCTTCTCTCAGCAGGTACTCATGGGAAGCCAGGCAGGTTTCCCCAGACAGGCCTGGCCTCAGAGGGCTCCCAGGCTGGCCAAGGCAGTCTCCACCCATCTTGCCCTTCCTTTGAGGCCCAGCTGGAATATTCCCCTCCTTAGGAGCCTGCCCTGGTTTCCTCAGCCATCATCCTTCAGCTCCGAACTCGCGTGTCCCACTGGTGTGCTGCAAACCCAGTCTAAGCGCTGGCGCTTTCCAGAGCACCATGAACTACAACCCCTCGGCCATGAGGGGTCAAGGGCAGCTATGACTCAGCTTCGTCCACCCAGGCCAGAATTGTTGACTAGCAATAAGGACTTATGACCTAGCCCACATCTGTCCCAGCTGAAGGCAAAGGCATTAATCTGTGCTGGACACTTAGCTAAGGGTACCCTTGTTGGGTTCAGAAGGTCCTAGGTAAGCAAGGTCATTGTATTCTGCAGATGTTCCAGGTGACCTACAGAGAGGCAGGTCCACCTGGGAAGGTGGGGACACATGGGCTGTTGAGTCCCACACCTGTCTCTTACCAGCTGTGGGAGGCTGACAGACTGCAACCTCCAACAGCTTCGGCGTCATTGTCCTTAAAATGGGTTTATAACAGAGGTGCAGTCACAGTGCAGTAGCCCAAACCAGCTAACGCCCAAACTAGATGCTGCTGGTGTTCCAGAGATGTATGGCCCTCCCTCCAGCCCTCTCCAAGGCCGGCATTCACCCTCCAGCCCTCTCCAAGGCCGACATTCACTATCGTTCCCAGAGAAGACTCCTCCTCACCAAAGCTCACTCTTATAGGCTGAGCAATGGTGCTGGGGGCAAGATAGGTAATGTATTAAGACACGGCCCTGCTGGGTTCTAAACTGGGCAATTACAGAGCAGCAGACCTAACAGGTAGCCACCTGGGAAGTGGGGGACGGGGGTGTTTCTGTTCTGGTCAGTCCAAAACATCAGCCCTGCCTGCCTCTCTGCCTGTGGAGGCACCTGCTGGCTGGCAGTTCCTGGTATGTTTGGTGGTAGCTGGGCTGCTGGTAAGGGAGAGCATAGCATGGGCTTCTCAGCTGGGGTTTGCCCTTTGCCTCAGTGCAGTGGAAATACACACTGGAGTCAGGAGGGGTTCAAATACCAGGTTCACATCTTAAGAGATGTGAGACTTTGGTCCACTTGTTCATCTTCCCAGACCCTCACTCAGTTGCTTTAACTGGAGAATGGGACTAGGACCCCCTACCTCATAGATGGGGGTGAGGGCCAATACCTGTCACTAATGTCAGGTGTAAAGAACCTAACAGGGCCAAGGGGTTCTTCCTAAGAACCAAACAAGCCACCTGTTCTAATATGTGGGACATGGTGGAGGAAGGCTGGGTGAAGCCTAGGCCCCAAGTCAGCACCCCAGACATAGAATCCACCCAGATTCCCTATTCAGGCTTGTCCAAAAGTCCTTGGAGAGGTTTAATTTGGATGGTTATCTGCTCCTGGGAAAGAAGACCCCTACATCCACTCTGTGAAGCTGAGGGTCACATCAAATCTGAAAGGCGACTTTGTTCTTCCTAGCTTTATCCGTTATGCATGAAAGAACAGACGGCGGGTGTTCAGGATTCATAATTTGAGACATCCGGAGACCAAAGACATTGGCCAAATTTAAACCGAAAGATGAACTTGTTGGGTGTCTTTTCAGATTATGGGAGAAAGAAAAAAGGAGAGAATTTCTTAGTCATCTATGAATTCACAGGGAGTGTGCCCAGTGGCTGACATCAGAGGGCTCTTCCTCTGGGTTCTGGACACTTAAAACGCCACTGTTCAGAAGGAATAAAGAGATAAATGCCCAAGGAGCCTCCACAAGCTGCAGCTGAAGGGCTGGCTAGAGGAAGCTAAAGAGAGCAGCCTTTCTGTGAAGGTCCCTGCACAGATCAAGAGAAGGCCTTGGGCTGCTCAACCAGATGTGGCTAGGAGGCCAGGACACAGGTGAGGGTCTGTGTCTAGGCTGGGCCCTGCCAAATGCTAGAGCACAACTGCCTTCCTTGTGCCCTGGTGCCCTCAGCAGTACTAGGAGCTAAAACTACCTGGGTGCAACATGGCCATTATAATGAGATAGTTAAGAGCACAGCATAGCCCTCACCACATAATATGAGCTCAGTTAACATAAGCTATTATCAATTTTGACTTTATTAAACATATTTGGTCCAAACTGCCTTTTGCCATAAGAGAACCTCTAGGCCTCCTGAGTATACTATCAACAATATGATAATGGTTACCTCTGGGTCACACAAACCCAGGGAAGTAGGCCAGGCACAGTGGCTCACACCCGTAATCCTAGCACTCTGGGAGGCCAAGGTGGATATATATATTCCCTGAGCTCAGGAGTTTGAGAACAGCCTGAGCAAGAGTGAGACCTTGTCTCTAAAAATAGCCGGGCGTTGTGGCAGGTGCCTATAGTCCCAGCTACTTGGGAGGCTGAGGCAAGAAAATCACTTGAGCCCGAGTTTGAGGTTGCTGTGAGATATGACACCATGGTAAGGCCAGCAAAGTGAGACTGTCTCAAAAAAACAAACAAACAAAAAACAAAACAGGGAAGTAGAAAATTGGGAGACTGTTATACCCTTTAGACAGATAGGAAAACCAAGGCCCGAGGGAAGAGGTAACTGACTGATCAAGTGTGACAAGCCAGAGCTAGACCTTAGGTCTCCAGTTCACCAAGACACCACCCCCCATCACACTGAAGCCACACATCCTGAGTTCACCTGAACGCTATCCCTAGGCCAAGCTCTTGTTTGGCATAGAGTAAGTCTGTCAAATGAATACATGCTGTGGCTCTACTTGAGAATGTGATAGAAAAGAGACATACTCCCTTGTTCCCCCCGGGAAAAAGCCCATGTGAGCACACACAACAATCTTGTACACAATTCAGGGGGTTCACAGCCCTCTTCAGTTCTGACACACTGGATCCCTGGTGTGGCCTTGCTAAGTCATCCAGAGGTGACCTCATCACACATATACCCATCTGCTGGTGAAAAGTGGGACCACTGGGCCTTTAACCTGGGGACCCTGAGACCATCACCCCACACACACAGCGCTGTATCAAGGCACACGGTCCAACTGGGCACTACTGCTTCCACCACTGAAGGGCAGGAACCATTAGATGCTGTACTCTTGGCCACCAGGTCACTACATCTACGTGCTGCTTATATTTCAAAAAGAGTATTTATTAGTTTTTTCCTCCTTAGATCTTTCTTCATAGCATCACAATGTAAAGCACAATAGGACTTATCTGCAGATATGCAGGAAACAGACAGACAGCTTCCCAACAAGAGACCAATGCTGCAGAATGGCTCACACAAACACAGTCATCTTTCTCAGGACCCCAGCCCCCTTGTGCCAAGGACTGAGTATGTCATGCCCTGTACTGGTACCTTATGACAAATACAGTGGCTGAAACCAAGGAGAGGTCTGGGGTGATAGTGGGGCTGCAGAGCTGGGGTGGGGAAAGGGAGTTACCCTCATACTCTGATGAAGACCACCAACCCCTCACCCCTACTCTTCCATCTAATGTGCTCTAATTGAAATGCTTAGATAAGTTTGAGTCAAAGAAATGTGTTTGTCTTGGGGCCCAAGCAACTTGCTCCAACAAGCCAGGCCACTAGGAGGCACCTCAGGATGAAGGAGATGCTGGCAGCTTTGCTGAGCTTCAGGATGTCAAAAGCCCCACTTGGGTAAGGAAACGAGGAAAGAGAGAGATTCTAAAGACAGAGAGTGCTGCTGGTTATGTCCTGACTGGTCACAGTGTCAGGAAAGAGAACAGCGTGATGCTTGCAGAGTTTGATTTTGTTTCACCCTCTGAATTAGCAGACTTCAAACACTTGCATTTTTATGGAAATCAACAGCAAGACAGCTAGCAGGACACAGAGGCTTATGCCAGTTCTGTGTGGAAAGGCACCAGATGGTTTGTTATGAAACACATTTTGGTCAGAAAATAGCTGGGGTTTTTTGGTTCCTGGGAGGACAACAAAGCTAGAAAAAAAGGAGGTGTGAGTTGTGAGAGGTGGAGGCAGAGAAATAAGCTTTGGCATCAGGTCTGAGTTCTACACTTGACTCTGCCCCTTCCACACCTGTGGCCTATTTCCTCGTCTGTAAAATGGCCATAAAATACGTCCAAATGAACCAAGGTGAAAGTTTCACAAACTATCCCAAAGTATGAGAGGTGGGGCTCAGAGAACATACACATGGACACACGGACAAAACAGAAGAGCAGACAGGATCTGTAGGAGGGGAGAAGGAAGGGATGGGGATGTGAACAGAGGCCAGTCACAGAGAGTGTCCCCATAGTTGCAGTCAGACTCTGGGAGTTGGGGGCAGTTTCACTGGTTCCGAGCACTGATAGCGACCATCCACAGGGACTGTGGGCCCTTCCAGCAAGGGCAGAGGGAAAGCTCTATTCAATGCAGCACCTGCAAGGAGCCCTACAGGGGCCACACCTGCTGTGTGTGCTTTAAAGTGCCAAGCAGTGTGCTGTCTTTGGTCAGGAGATGCCCCTCTGTCTCTGAGGGCCTCAGGGTCCAGGGTCTCAAGCCCAGGCCTGCTGGGCCCTGAGGAAGGTGAGCTTGAGGACACAATCCTCTCCTGAGGCTGTGGGTGTCCTCCTCTGCTCAAAAGATGACAGAAATCTGACTGCTTTCAGCCAGGAGCAGGGATGCCTCTGTGGAAATCAGGTCCTTAGAAAGAGAAGGGACAAGAAATGCTTTGGTCACCATCCTGACACCCACAGTCAGAACGAGCTTGCTTGAGAAGAGTGAGCAGGAGCCGGTTACAGCACTGCACACGTCACATAGCAGGAGTCATGCCTGACGTAAACTGGCTTCTGAGCACAAACCAGAAGTCACTGAATAAATATTCAAGGCATCTTTCAGTTCTTAGAGAAATAGCAGGGATTAAAAAAAAAATCTCTTTCCCCTGCTTGACTGGCTGCAGCTTTGATCTGTAGGCTGATGGTGCCGCGGCCCAGAGAGGTGGCTGGCAGGTCCTGGGGGTAGCTCCCTAGCTGCAGATGGCTTTGGTCCATCACATGTCAAGGTTGGCTGTGTCCTGCTGGGCCCAGGCCCTCAGAAGCTGAAGAGGTCATCCTGCTCTGTCAGGCTGCTGTCAGGCTTGTCCCAGTCAACAGGCGAGAGACACTGGGCGTAATGAATGTCCTGCGCCGTCAGTCCAGTGTCTAGGACCTGAGGGTTCGTCCGAGACTGGGCGAGCCTAGAAGGCAGAGCTATGTGAGCCCAGACTGGCCAAGGGGCTGGCAGGGCCTGCGAAGCCAGTCCAGCCTGGCCAGCTCCAGGGTCAGATGTGGGAGGGCATGACAGGAAGAGGACAGGACACAGGACCTGAAAAAAAAGTCCCGGGTGCTGAGGAAGCCTCAGAAAAGTATGAGGCAGGCATGCTCTTATCCCATAGAGAGGCCAGCGTATCCACACCATACCGGGGCTCTGTCAGGAAGTGCCCAGGAAAGAGAAAGCACAGTGCTGGCACAGGGCATGGGGAGCAGCGCCATGGTGGGGAGGGGAGGACTGTCTAGCTAAGGGGCAACACTAGTGGTGACTGTGTTCAACACCAGGCTGTCCAAACAATAGATTTGAAAAGGGAGACAACCTGAATGTCCAAAACAATAGGGGAGAGTTAAGTAAGTGATAGCCCTGTCTTTAAGAGATTGTTATGCAGTTGATGAAAGAGGTGTTTACTGGAAGCTTTTAACAGCCTAGAAGGATGCTTCTGACACTTGGATGTTAAAGGAAAAATCAGGATCCTAAAATGCAAATAAGGTGTGCTGATCAATGCCAAATAATGTATATGTATAGATTAGCATGCATTAAGCCCAAAAGTCTAGGCTGTGGGATTATGGGATGGTACTGTTTTCTGTTTAATGCTTTGCTGATTTTCAAAATTGTTCATTAAGGGTACATGCAACTTGAATAATCTGACAGTAGTAAATGGAAGATTTTCCTCAAGTAGGGGGTTATAGTCAGCCAGAGAAGCTGGGAAGGTAGTAAAAAGAATGTCTCTGCCTCCATGGAGGGGCCACGTGTGCTGCCCCCATCCCAGGTTGCACCATGGAGTCTCCACCAGGTTCTGGAGGATAGTATCTGTGGAGAGGGAGCAAGAGGCTGAGGTCCCTGACTCTGTTCTCACGTAATGGAAAGCCCCCAAGAAAAGCCTCTGAAGTGAGAGGGTTGCAGGGGGCTATGGAGGATTCTGAAAGAAAGCTTAGAACCCTGAACTGCCTAGGCCTCTCCTCAGCCAGAGGCTTCCCAGTGGCAGGTCCCCAGGGTAGCCATGGCTACCGGGGCAGCACCCTGGGAAAAAATACGGGGGAAATGGCACCACCCTCAGGCTTTACCAAAATACCTCCTCACCTTGCCGACATTCCCCTCTGGGTAACACTCTGTGGACTTAATTAAGGATTGCCTTCTCCCTGCCTTTTTTAAAAAAACACAAAACTCTGGAAGGAACGAAGCCAACAAAAAGCCCATTTGTGAAGGCTGTACTGGGTGTAGGAAGAGGGAATCAGCCTGAGCCACAGTGTGCTTAGTTCAGCCCAGGCTGTGGCTGAGCAGCCACCAGGAACAGTTCTGACTCACCAGCCAGCGCCTAACAGGCCTGCCCAACCCCAGAGAGTGAGCTCCCTGCCCCTGGAGGGATGGGAACTCTTCTCTGGAGGAGGGAGGGAAAGGCAGAGCCAGCCCACGCCCTAGCATGAGGAACTCAGCTACTGTTACCTGGAAAATGCTTCATCAAGGCCATCATCCAGTTCCTGGGGGGAAACAAAGAAGAGATATGAACTCTTAGCGGAGAGCCATGCTCGTAACGGGGGGCTTGTCCCAGCCCTGGGTAAGCTACAGGATTCAGGATACAAGTACAGAGTGGGGGGCTAGAGGAGCAGGCTCAGCCAGGCCCCCCACCTGGCTGCTGCCACCAGCATCCCAGCCCATGGACGCACAGCTAGGGACGTGGGACAGGAGAAAGTGCACATCCCAGGGTGTCTGGAGACATGGGTGGGTTCAATTCTCTGCTCTGCCACTACGGGCCCATGACACCTTGAGCAACTCATTGCTCCTGGTTGAAACTCAGTTTTTCCTTCCATAAAATGAAGGGATTGGATTAGGTGATTTCTGTGGTTTTCTTTCTATCCACTTCCAAAAGCCAAGCCAAAATTCGAAGCTCATGAGGGATAACTAACTGATGGCAGGAACCCCACAGCTTCAGTGGGTAAAAGATGGGTCTCCATGCAAGGATGGGCAGGTGGCAAGGGTAGTTCTCAGACTGTAGAGAACAGGCTTGAGGGACATATGGGGAACCCCCAACAGCTAGAGAGACTTACAAGTTTTCCAAGTCACTCCATGTCCCAGATTTTTAATAATTAAAGAAATAGGGCAAGTTAACATGCAACTTTATGGTGGACCCTAGGCCAGAAAAAGAACACTGGAAGGACAAGTGGAAAAATGCAAATAAACTCTAGATTATACAAGAGTGTGGTATCCCTGTTAATTTCCTGATTTAATCACTGTAACGTGGTTATGCAAGATGTTAACATTTGGGGAATCTGGATGAAGGGCAAAAATGAATTCTTTGTACTGTTTTGTAAATTGTTTGAAATTATTTCCAAATGAAAAATTAAGTAAAAAAATTTCAGGGTCTTCTGAGACAGTCTGTGGGCAGTGGTCATTGTCCTCATTGAGGGGATGAAAAAGCTGAGATAGAGAGGTCAGGGGGCTTGTCCTGAGTCAGGAGTGAGTCAGGGGCCAAGCTGGTGACTGCCCAAGTCTCTGGCTCCTCATTCAGATGGCTAAGGGGGAGGTGTCAGCAGCAAGCCCTGCCATGCTAACAACAAGGGTGCCTTTGGTTGGTCTTGTGGTGGGCAGAGCCATGCATGCTCAGGCCAAGAGGCCAGGCATTGTGAGCAGACAGCTGTGCGGGAGCCAAGTCTATTTGGGACGCAGCCCTGGGTTCAAAGGGGACATTGTTCATCCCCTGTCCTGGGCCTGGGCACTACCCAGCTGCGTCTGGTCCTCCCAGAGGCCCACAAGTCAGGGTTCCGAGGGCCTGGCCTCTGAAGCAGCCTCAGACTCATTCAGAGAACAGGCACTGATCTCTGTACAGGTTGCCAGCCCACATGCCCACTTACCCAGACAACACTACTGTTGCTCAAGGCTTGAGGCCGAGGTCCCTCATCCATGTTAGTGGTGTTAGCGCTGACTGTAGACAGTGGGGCCTTGGCTGTCTCTTCGAAGTCCAGCAGGTTTCCAGTGGCGACCACTGAGGGGATTGAATAGGTGTATCAATGGATGAGCCAATCCCTCTTTCCTGGCCCTATCCTGGAGCCTCCTGGGCTGTCCTAATCCTGACTCCCACCACGGATGTGGCCTCACCCTGGCCCCTCCCTCCTGGCAGCTGCACAACTACACACAGGTGAGAGCCTGTCCCTCACTAATGGTTTAGAGTGCAACTTTCACATCTACAATAGTTGCTAAATTTTTAAAGAGAATACATAATAGGATTTAAAGTGTATAGGGATATACGCATATATTTATATATTTGCATAGGGACATATCTGCAACAATATGCACCAAAACAAATAATTTTTTCCCTTTATCTACATTTTCTAATGTATCTATAATGAACAAGTATTATTTATTTAACAGAACAAAAAAAGGTAGGAGTCTTCCCTAGCCCAGGCAGGAGTGGGGCCCCTCTGGATAAAAGGCAGACCCAATGCCATGCAGCTGAATCCAGCCCCATCCCTTGCCCAAGACTCACAGCTCTTCAATGAGGGGGTGCTGTCACAGCAGGCCCCCAGGACGTCCCCTCCCTCTTGGCTGGCTTTCTCCCTCTTCTCCTTCTCTGTGGGAACAAGGCACAGCATGTGGGACTGCAGACCCAGCACTCTGTCCCAATCACTAGACAGGCTGTGGCCAATCTCAGGTGGTAGTCTTAGGTCTCCAACAAGGAAGAAAGAAACCTTGCAGATGTTATTTAATCCTCACAGGCACCCTGGGGGAGGTAGATGGCTATTCCCATTTATCAGATGAGGAATACTGAGACTCAGAGAGGTGAAGCAATCTGTTCAAAGTCATGAGCCAGGTATGTAATTAAAGCGAGAATTGGTCCATTATCTGCCTCCCTACTCCCTGCTCCACCCACAGTGTCAATGAAAAAGACTCACCTTCCTTGGACACCTGCCAAAACTCAAAGGCGACTTTGAAGGCCTGGGCTACTGTGAGGGTGACAGCCTGTGCCTAAAAACAGGAAATGGGGGTGGGGAGGAGTGCAGTGTCAGCCAGGGCAGAGCAAGTCTGAACTGGAGGGCTGGGTACTCCAGGCCAGGCCCCCAGCTCCCTCCCTGCAGCTTCTTGAGGCTCTGTCCCAGGCTCTGGAATGCCTACTGTCCAAAGGCAGGGTCCTGGCCCCTCAAAGGTCCCCAAAGAGAGGGGTATAATAAGGGTCCTATCTTTACCACCTCCTATAGCCCTGCCAAGTTCCCACTCTCATTCTAGTGCCTCACCTTCACAATGGATGTTCACCTCCAGTTTTTCCCTTTCCCTTTGGGTTTCCCTAAATTCAATGAACTGTGAGGTTTACTTCCTCCAAGAAGCCTGCCATAATTACCCGAGGACTTCATACACTAACTTAGTCCTTGGAACTGGAGAACAGAAAAGCCAGCGTTGGAAGGACCCAGCCACTGCCCCGCATGAGCCAGAGAGATGAAGGGCAGGCTCTGGTTAGGACTATGCTGGTTAGAGGGGTTTATAATCAGATCCCAAAAGGGAGCAGGAAGCTTATTCTTGGCAGGTGCAAGATGTCAATGAATGCCAGGGGACCAAAACCATTCAGTGCCATAACCCACCTATAAGGAAGGACCACACCTTAGTCTTTCACCCCTGGGGACTTCCCATCCACCCCTTCGAGGAGAGAAGTTATCGCTTCTCTCCTGTCACCAGCCCTGGGTTCCTCCAGCCCTATCTACCTCCCTCTGGCATCACACATATGAAAGTATCACTAGCTCACATGTCTTTGTCCTCCCAAAGTATAAGAATCAGTCTGAACACCCCTGCCTCCTGACCCCAGAGGTGGCAACAAAGCAGGTGAACTGCATTTGTCCAAGGGGCAGGCCTCCTGAGGCCTCATTCCAGTCAGGACCCATCCCCAGTCCATATCCTCTCTCAATGATCTCAGTGTAGGGTTAACCAGCTCAGCTTCGGGGGATGCACATCCCCAAAGCTTGTAGCTGTCACCGGAAACATCTAGCTTCCTTCTGAAAGCCCTGGCCCAGAGAAGAAAGCACCAGCCTCTTTCTTTCAAGTGCACAACAAGTTCAGGCCTAATCATCCTCAGCCCCACTCCTTTCCTTCTACCAGACAACTCAATTTAATTGAGAAATGAATCCGTGGCCACTGCCTTTAAAACTCTTTAAAAAATATTTAAAATTCCTAAACAAGCTGACAGATCTGTGCAAATTAAACTTCACGAAGTATAAAATCTCATTTGAATGTCTCCATCATTTACATTTTTGATGGAAGTACAAGCACTTTATGGCAAAACTTAAATATGGTAATTAAGTATGAAACTCTTCACAGCTGTTTACAATTTAAGCTGTCACGTCTGAATCAAGTTTAATAGACCCAGTAACCATTGAGAATTGCCCATGAACTAAAAATACGGGCTAATTATCAGCCCAAATCAGATCACTATACACTAAAGAAAAGGCTGGTCACCCAGTGTGGCAGGGACATGGAAACACCATTATTTTTGGCTGCAGGAAATCGGGGGACACAGCTGAAATGGTGGTTGAGCTGAAACTTAAGACTGTTTTGTACAAATGTACTTATTCATTTGCATACATTCCCACCCTTTTGCCCTGAAGTCCCAAGCTGTTAAGTTAAACCAAACAGAACTCAAGATGTCCATGTGTGCAGACAGCTGCAAGCCCAGGATGAACAGAGACTGGCAGGGGGTGGGGCCCTGTATCCTGGGGCAGCTGCAGGGATCCGGCACCAGCATGGAGGGACTGCTCAGGCTTGCCTGCCGAGAAGCTCCTTCCTCCACTCCTGGGACTGGGTGCCCACCTCTTCTGAGTGCCTGTGACCTGTGGGTTTATCTTGCTACCCTATCTTGTTCCTGGCTGTTAACTCCTCAAAGGGGGTCAGGAACTCAGACTAAGCCAGGCCACATGCCTCCTAGTAGCTCGGCTGCCCCAGAAGTATAAATCCTTGTACAGGATTACTCCAGGAATGCCAAAAGCCATCTGGGAAAACAGCCTGGCCTGCTCAGCCCTGGGAAGAAACGGGGTGTCATTTTGCTTCTTATGAGTCAGGCCCAGCCCAGCACCCACACTGGAACCATGACCTCTCACCTTCACTTCAGAGCCCAGAGGCCTCCTGGGTGGGGAGATAGAAACCTTTCTTTGTAGAAAATCTTTTTTTTTTTTTTTTTTAGAGATAGTCTTTTGTCGCCCTCGGTAGAGTGCCATGGTGTCACAGATCACAGCAACCTCAAACTCTTGGGCTTAAGTGATTGTCTTGCCTCAGCTTCCCAAGTGGCTGGGACAACAGTCGCCTGCAACAATGCCTGGCTATTTTTTTGTTGTAGTTGTCATTGTTGTTTGGCAGGCCCGGGTGCCTGCCAGCTCCGGTGTATGTGGCTGGTGCCCTAGCTGCTGAACCACAGGCATGGAGCCTCTTTGTAGAATATCTTATCCTGGCTGGGCCCACAGGACCAGGAAAGGGAAGCCTGGGTGGCAGTGCTGCCTCAGGGCTGGGCTGAATTGGGGGGTGATCCAGAAGGGAATCCCTGCTCCCCCAACCAACCCTTGGAGGGTCATAAGGTTCTTGCTCACTCTAGTGGCCCAGCAAGAAAGACTGGGGATGTGGAGGCTCTGGGAGCCCTGTCCATCAATATCCCAATTCAAGGCCCCTGCAGGCTGACTCTGTCTTGCCACTTACCCTAAGCACCAGTGATATGTGTCCCCAACTCCAATGGTAGCATTTCTTATTGTCCTTCTGTGCCTATGCTGTGCCTATGCACTTACCTCTTAGCATCCTAACCCTGGTTTCTCTCGGCATGGCAAACCCCTACTCACAACTCAGCCTTTTAGGCCCCTTTCAAGACATCTCTCTGGGAAGTCCTGCTGACATCTCTCTGCTGAAGTCTAAAGTAGCCCCCACTTTAGAACCAAGCCCCTGTATTCCAGCCACTGAAGCAGGGCTCTTCAGTATGTATCTTGCATATGTCTTCATGTCCCCCCAGGGCTCTAGCCCAGGATGGGCAACATCAAACATCTGTGGAGGTAGCTGCCAGCAGGTACAGAGTCTGTGCACCCATTTCATCTTCTACCTCCTCTGAGAACACTTCCATTAAGTCCCAAGAATCTAGAATTTCCTAACACGGCCAGGCCACAGGGCCATCGACATGCTGCAGCTTGAGCTAAGGCCTTGGAAAACATGATACATTCATACCACACTGGGCTGGGCTACTTCTTGGAGAGGGGTCCCTAGGGCCCCCTGAAGAGGGAGGCCAGGTGGCACAGGATGGAAGAGAAGGAAAATGAAGAGTTTGGGTTTCTAGCAGGAGCCCTTCCTGCTGCACAATCAGGGTTCTGCTATCAGTGGCCAAGCAGTGGCATGGCTGTTTTCCTTGGTAACTAACTTCTTGTTATAGGAGCAGGTTGATTTCATTCAAGCCTGTCTAATGTCCTCTGGCCCCAGGTCAGGCCTCCCTTGGAAACCCTTGGCCAGTACCCTCACTCTCTTATTCTCTGGCTCCCTGCCCCAAAGGAAGCCTCTGTCTCCTAGAACACCCCTCCCAGCCAGGGCCCACACAGCACCAATGGCTGTGGGCCAGCTGTCTCTGCCCAGTGCTTGTACTGATCAGTGGGGAGGAAGACATGAACAATGGGGACACAATGAGTTTGTATTTTTAAGTCTATGTGGCCTCATAGAAGACAAAGCCTAGTGTCGCTGTCTGTGGGAACAAGGCTGTCACAAGAGATGCCACAGCAGCTTAGGGCCCTGGGGCACCATGAGTTGAGTGGCTCGGAGACACTGAGTCTATAGAAAAGAAACAAGGTGAACAAAAGAAACTGGGGCCTTTGAGAACAATCCTGGAAGTCACGGCGGTGACCTCCTCATTCTGCTGATAGACAAGAAGCCCAGAGGAAGCCAGGCTCTTATCCTGGGTCACACAGCTCATCAGTCTGTCTCCTTTTGCACTGCCTCTCTGTGATACCTGTGTTGGGTTGAATCATGCACCCCCAGGAGGTCCACATCATAATCCCCAGGACTGGGGAACGCTACCTTACATAGCAAAAGGGCTTTGCAGATGTGATTAAGTTAAGGATCTGGAGATGGAGATTATCCTGGATTAACCAGTGGGTCCAAATGTCTTTCACAAGGGGCCTTGATAGGGAGCAGGAGAGTCAGAAATAGTAATGAGAGGACAGAAGTGAAAAGAGACTGGAAAACATGAACCAAGGTTTTCAAGTGGGCTCTTGAAGGTAGAAATGGATTCTTCCCAAAGCCTCCAGAAAAAATACAATCCTGCTAGCCCCCTTTAGACTCTCAACCTCCAGTACCATAAGCTGTAAGGCTGTTTTAAAACCACTAAGTCTGTGGTCATTTGTTACAACAGCAATAGGAAATGTATACAATATCTAAAGTGTGCCCTAATGGGTGGCAAGGAGCCTGTGGGCCACAAAGTCTGCGATGTCCTTGATGTGCACTTTGATGATGGGGAGGGGAGAAGATCGTGTCTTTTTGGCTCTAAGAGCCTTAGGACATGGGGACGGGGCTCTGAGCTGTCAATATAGGTTAATAGATGCCAAGAGTCAACGAATGGATTTCAGGAATCACCTTATAGGGAGGACACTCCGATCCTAGCTTCGGAAACAAAAGCTATAATGACAAAGTTGACCCACTCCAGCTCTTTGCTCCAAAATCAAAACAAATGCCTAGTGACCACTAAGGTTCCCACTCATCCCAGCTAGATGTGGTCAAGGCGTGGCCTGGAAACGGGAAAGGAGCTCTTGGCTCCTCAGTCACACATGGAGGGAAAAGAATGTGGGCTTAAACCTTCACTCTGTCCCTGGCTGCTGTGTCATCTCCAGCAAGATGGCTGGCCTCTGAGAGTCCATATCTTTATTTTTGGAAGAAGTATGGGGAATCCTCAAAGGACTCAAATTAGACCTTTCTTCTGATCCTGCAATCCCATTACTAGGCATCTATCCTGAAAAAAAAAATCCTTTTATCATAAGGACATTCGCACTAGACTGTTTATCTCAGTTCAATTTATAATCACCAAAATGTGGAAATAGCCTAAATGCCCACCCACCCAGGAATGGATCAATAAGCTGTGGTATATGGAATACTATTCAGCCACCAAAAAAGATGGAGACTTTACATCTTTTGTATTAACCTGGATGGAGGTGCAACACATTCTTCTTAGTAAAGCATCACAAGAATGGAAAAGCAAGAAGCTAATGTACTCTCTTCTAATATGAAGGCAGTAATGAGCTAATACAAGGGAGGGGGTAGGGGAATGAGTAAGTGGGGAGAGGGGGAAAGGGAGAGAGATGGAGAGTCATGGAGTATGGCACACCTCTTAGGGTCAGGACACAATTATAAGAGGGACTTTATCTAACAAATGTGATCAGTATAACCTAATTCTTTGTACCCTCAATGAATCCCAAACAATAAAAAATAATAAAAATATTAAAAAGAAAAAAAATACCAATAGAAATAGTAACAGTTTCCACCTCGCAGAGTTGTTATGATGATTAAACAAGAAAATACCTTAAAACCTAGCAATGAGGACGGCACCTGTGGCTTAAAGAAGTAGGGCACCAGCCCCATATGCAGGAGGTGGTGGGTTCAAACCCAGCCCCGGCCAAAAAAACTGCAAAATAACAAAACAAAACAAAAAAAAACTAGCACTGAGGGCCAGGGACAGTGGCTCACGCCTTATAATCACAGCACTTGGGAGGCCAAGGCAGGTGGATTGCCTGAGCTCATGAATTTGGGACCAGCCTGAGCAAGAGCGAGACTCCATCTCTAAAAAATAGCCAGACATTGGGAGGCTGAGGCAAGAGGATTGCCTGAACCCAAGAGTTTGAGATTGCTGTGAGCTAATGCCAAGGCATTCTACCAAGAGTGACCAAGTGAGACTATGTTACAAAACAAAACAAAAAAACCTAGCACTGGAATGGGCATGTAGGAAGTACCAAAGAATGACCCCTTCCTCTTCCCCACTCTGGCTACAGCAAGCTTAGTCTTCTGAGTGCTCTTGCCTTTGCCTCCCACCTCCACTCGCCTCAATGTCCCATCTCCAAGGACTAATCTCCACAAGGCCCTGTAGCCTACAGACCGTATTAATGACAGAAGATCCAAAATAATCTCAAATCCAACAAATCATGTCACAAAGAGGACGTGGCCCAGGCCCTCATTTGGGACATGAGCTACTCACTGCCCATAGCCAGACTGACCCATGTGTCACCTGCCTGACTGCAGCAATATTAGGCAGCCTCAGCTCTCACCTACTAGGGATTCCCATGGATTTCATCTTTTTAAAAAAGTGATTGTCACTTGTGGGTTCTGCCTCCCACACCAGACAGGCCCCCCAAACCAGGGCTGCCAAAGCAGGCTGGCCTGCCCCAGCCCAGTCTTCCCCGCTAACCATTTTGCGCTTGGTGCAGAGGAAGGCGTGGCACTCGAGGTTCTCATTGTGCTGGCTTTGGGCAATGTATGCAAACACCTTGTCATGCATCTTGTCTGCTGTGCAGTAGGAGATCCTGAAAGGCAAGTGTCAAGTGTCACCAGACCTGGCTTGGGAGCCTGTCCACTGGGATGCCCTTTAGGGCATTTCCCTTGAGTTCCAGAGAGCCCGCTAACCCCCACTCCACCAGGGTGAGACTTAGAGATCCTTCCTTGGCCACTAGGCCTGGTACCCTGGGCCTACTATTAGGGAGGAACTCAGGCCAGGCAGGAAGGACTGGGGGTAAAGATGAGAGGAAGGGCACTTCCCCTCTCTCCCTCCCATCCCACCCTGAATTGGACCCCAGGACACTAATAGCTGAACCCTCACTGCATGCCAGGTGATGTGCCAAGGGCTTTCTAGATATTGCCTCATTGAATGCTCAGAGCTACTCCTGAGGTGGGTTCCGTCATTATCTCCATTTTTTAGATGAGAAAACTGAGGCTAACGGCATAAGAGCACACAGCTAGTAGGAGAGGTAGGACCTCAACTTACCTGTAGGACTCCAGAGGTCATGCATGCCATGCCACCTCTTAACAGTTTGTGCAGACAAGTGGGAGGGGAGGAGGACACTGCCCCACCTTCCTATGTGCTTCACCTGGCTTCCCTGTTCTGCCACTCCCCCCATCCATGCTTCTGCCCAGGAGTCAGTCTTTCTCAGGGTGACTGGGACCATCAGCAGGTCTTCTAGAGCCATGGCCAGGGGTGGAAGAGCTGGGAGTAGGGGTGAGGTGTGTGTGGTGACCTGACAAGAAGCCCCAGTGGGGCTGGGGGGGGGAGACACAGCAGTTCCCTGCATGGAACACCCTACCTGCTCCCAACTGCCATGCACAACCTCTGTGCCCTGACCCCTCAGCCATCTCTCCCTCTTACTGTCCAATCCCTCCACATTGCCTTCCATCATCCTCAGAATCCCAGTCAGGAGGAGCTCCAGGACCAGAGCTGCAGTGGGAGCCCAATATCCTCACCCTCACTTGTGTAGCCCCAGCTTCATCACAGGCATTGACACTACTTAAAACACCTCTTCTCCAACCCAGAAGCCCCAGCCTCCTGCTTTTAGTATCCATCTATTAGTTCCTGCTATTCTTCAAGCCCTAGCATTTCCTCCCTCCATTGCCTGCCAGACTGGAAGGTCTTTGAGGGCTTAGGCTGTATTAGTTCCTCATCTGGCACAGACCTTGGCAGAATCGGTACTCAGAAAATGTTGATTAAAGGCAGGCAGGTAGATTCAGAAAGGTAAAAGGAAAATGTCAGCCCCAAACTCCAAGACCACCCCCTACAATACACATGTACCCACTCCTACCCCTGCCTTGTGCTCCAGTTGCACTGTGCTACAATTACCTGGAGACAAAGCAAGAGGTGGAAGGATGCCTGGAAGATGGGGGCCTGCTGGATAGAGCTCTGGCTGGGAATCCTGGTCCCAGGTCAGTCAGTACCTCACCATGCAATCTTAGGCAATTCCCTCTCTGGGCCTCAGTTTCTCTATCTGTAAAAAGGACTAGGATGTCTCTTCTAGTTCTGAAATCTTACAACTGGCTGAGAGATAGAAGCTCTAGGAGTCGGACCCACTAGACAAACCATCTACACTGTGCCCTCAGATCCTAGCTAAGGCCTCCACGGGATGCCTGGCCAAATGTCCAGAGCCGAACTGCTACACTCATGGAGGAAGAAAAAGGCAGCTGCAACTCTCTGCTCCAAGCCTGATACGTCAGTGTGCTGAGTGCTCAGCTGTCTGCTACAGCTGGGGATAACAGCAGTTGCCACTTAGCTGAGTGCTCACTGAGTGCCCTAGTACTCCATATAGCACTGGGAGGCCGGATCTGTTCCCCACCCCATTTCACAGATGAGAAAACTGAAGCTGCAAGGTCACCCAAGTAGGAAGAGGCAGAGCCTGGATTCAGACAGGACACTCTACCCACAGCCCGAGGCAGAGTGGATGCGGGCCACTTCCCATACTGAGCGTACCTGTAAATGGACACATTCTCGATGAGCTGGTTGGTGAGGTTGTCAGTCAGGATAATTCCCCGAGGTGATACCTTGAGAGTCACCTTCTGCAGCTTCTTCCCACTGGCCTTAGCCTTGGACATAGACATGGGTCAGAGGAGCCTGTCTGCCTCAACTGGAGCATCCTGCCCCCTCTTGGGTACCCCTAGGCCTCAGACATGGGGCCCATCTCACCCTCTTGTAATGGTCAGGACCAACAATTGCTACTCACTGAGCACCTGCTGTCTGGACTATAAGTGATGTTCATAGGCAGGAGGACGAACTCTCATCTGCCTTCTCCCTGGGAGATGGACTCAGAGAGGCTAAGAGACTTGCCCAAGGACACACAGCTACAGGGACCTGAAACTCTGAAGACTGAGTAGCCTATCACAGCCCAACCAGATGACTCCTAGAAACTCTATTCTAACCACTGCACCTAGCAAGGCCCGAGCTGAGGGGTCCAAGGCTATCAAGGCAAGTGGAATTAAAAGCCCACACACACTTGGAGCTTGGGAGGGGCACTCTGGTCTCTAGTGAGCTATTATTTCTCAGGCCACTGGGCAGTGGTCAAATGACAGAAACTTCCCCACACTCCCTGGTGCTAATAAGTCACCCTCACTTAGGCCAGGAACCTGAACTGGGGCAGGGGCAACTAGAAGAGGCCATGGCCTTAGTGGCTGGAGGGAAGCCACACCAAAATCTTGCCAGTCCAATGGCTCCCCTCTACCCAGCCCCTGAGCTGGATGCAAGGAGACTCAGGCCAGGCAAGGCACATCTATCAGAATAGCAGGCTGGGATGAGGGCCACCACAGAAGCAGCTTGCCCTTGGTTTCATGGGGCCCATGACCCCTTCAATTGGGGTGCTCACTGTGGCCACGATCCTCTTGACAGCAGCAGCTGACAGCTCCTCGCCTTTGGGCTGTTCCACCAGTGTCATTCCCAGGTACTTGAGTGTAAAGAGCATCCCCTCGAGCAGAGTCTCCCGAGTGTCTGTCCAGTTCTCAGGCAGCTCTGGGACAGGACAGAAGAGGCCTTTAGACCTTGTGGGGCAGTGCCTACCACCAGCCACAGCTTTCACCTGCCCCCATTCCCTAGGAAAACCCAGCAAGAGACACTGAGATCCCCTACCCTGTTATTTTTACTTAAAAAAAAAAAGGCTAACATTTTCTACTACATACCAAGCACTGTGGCAAGAAGATCTACATAAAACGTTCATATTAATCCTCTTGATAACCCATTAGGTAGACACCTTTGTCACACCCACTGACAAAGGCACTGAGGTCTAGGGAAAGTCACACACTCAAGTCCACAGAGCTAGTACTTTCAGGAGCCAAGACTCGAGCCACATCTTCAAGATCAGAGCCCAAACTCTTACCTTCAAAGCTAACATGTGCTGAAGGAAAATCATACTGTTTCTTACTGAATCATCAGTGCAATTTTGTGAGGTGGTTATTATCCCCATTTTACAGATTAGGAAACTAAGGTTCAGAGAGTCAAAAGTCATGAGACAAAACCCACATGCAATGAATAAAGGGTTGGAATTCAAACGGGGGTGGTTCCCATGGCCCCAGCCTGCATCACTTTCCTACATGTGCACATCAACAGAGACCAATGGGTGAGGGAGGGTAACCAGCCAAGAGACAGAGGGTAGAGTAAGGGTCATTAGGGAAAGGAGGAGGTGACTTCTTAAATGATGTCACATCAATCTGGCAAACCTGGGTTCAAATCCTAGCTCTGCTTCCCACACTCTGCATGGTCTCAGGGAAGTTGCCTCTTCTCTGATACTAACCATACCTGTCTCTCTGGGTTGCAGTAATGACACAGAGCAAGGGACATGGGAAAGTCCCTAAACACTGTCTACTAATATCAGGAAGTTTGGGAAGTGAAGAGATGAACCCAGGTCACTAGGTGGGGAAACAGACCAGAGAGAGAGTTGGAAAGAGGTCCTCCCCTCATCTACAACATAGTAGAGAACCCTGAAGAGGCAGAGGGTTATAAGGGGGAAGTGCCATCCTCATCAGTGGTTTTGAACATCCCCTGGGTTCCTCCTCAGGAGCTGAGGCTCAGAGGCCCCAGATCATTCAGCCAGGAAGCAATGTAGCCGGGACAGGAAGGGAGGTCTCTGGGAGTCCTCCAAGCCCCCATAGTTAGGAGGAATAAGCATCCCATGCTCCTGCATGTTAAAGCCTCTGCTTGCCCCTTAGCATTCCCACAGATGTTGCACTTGTAGGAGGTTTTTATCATACGATTGTACCCATTTTACAGAAGAGAAACTGCTCTTCAGCCTCATACATAATCTCTGTGAAGGACAGAATAGGATCCAGACAGGAATCAGCTTCCCTAGACCATTCCCTGAGAGAGGGCTGGAAGAAATCTTGAGTCTCCTCACTGACTTTGATGGGAAAGCCATAGGAAAAAGTTTAGTACTGGGTATTGCTGGTTCAAGGGCTGTGGATTCCCCCTACAAGGTTCAGTTTGGCTTCAGGATTCCTGCACTGTCAGGGGAAGAAACCTGGGCCCAGGTGGCACCACCAGGTCTCCTACCCCAGCCAGGTCCCTGTAGCATCTCCTGGCTCCTGTCCTATAGCTTGAGGCCTCCAGGGGCTCTGTCTCCCCCATCCACATCCAGGAGCCTTATATACCCACATTTCTCTGGATTTGCCTTGAGCAAGCCACTGTCCGTCTCTGAGACCTTTTCCTTGTCTGAAAGAGTATGTGCTGAGAGTGGGAGAGGCTCACAGGAACTTGCAGGTATACTCGCCAGGTAAATGGGAACTTGTTGATTGGTCATCTAGAATCTGGCGTGCAGCTAGCGCTCAGTATCTGCTGAGTGGAGGAATGACATGGACAACCCCACTCCCAGCTCTGATCTCTGGTCCACTGACTACCAGCCCTCACCCCAGGGCCTCCACCCTAACACGAGGCCTGGCCCCCACTGAGATGACAAGAAAAAGTTTGGAACCATCAACTATAAGCCCATTCCATTTGATCCCCTGAAAAGAGTAAGAAAGTCCTTAAGGTATCCCTGGTCCTGGGCTGGGTGATGGGGACCCTGGTGCAACTCTGATATAGGTCCTGCTCTCAAAGAAACCAAGAATAACAGGCTAAGTGCAGTAGTTCACACCCATAATGCCAGCACTTTAGGAGGCTAAGGTGGGAGGATCACTTGAGGCCAGGAGTTCAAGACCAATCTGAGCAACACAGCGAGATCTCACTTCTACAAAAACTAAGAAAAATCAGCTGGGTATTGTGATGTATGCTGGTAGTTCTAGCTATTCAGGAGGCTGAGGCAGAAGGATTCCTTGAGCCCAGGAATTTGAGGTTGCAGTGAGCCACAATGACAGCACTGCACTGTAGCCCAGGCAACAGAGCAAGACCCTGTCTGAGTAATACTCACAGCTACCTTGCAAGCAGGTATTCTTTCCTTCTCATTTTACAGATGAGGATGCTGAGGTTCAAAAAACTGACTCCTGACACTAAAGCCCACACTCCTGGCCATTAGACCATACTACATCATCAGGAGGCAAACTACTGTAAGCCTAGCAGAAGGTCAGGGAGAGGTTCTTGGAGTTGGAGTTTTCTCCCACCTGGGATTATGTATTGCTAATACTGGCAGCTTCCCCTCTGTAGGCCAACATACTCAGACCACCACTGACACCTATCTAAGCAAGGATGCCCAAGATGGTATTGTGCCTACCATCTGTGTCCCTGGTAGACATTGCTAATTGACTGTAGCTCTATTTCCCTCTCATCGTTCCTCAGCACAAGGCCCCAGGCAAGCAACACCAATCAATCAAGTGCAGCCTTGTTCATGTCATCATCTATTTCTGCCCTCCAGCATTCTTCTTCCCATTTTCATGTCCCCACTCTTCCATTTCCTCCTGCTTAGCTTTCTCCTGGCCTCCTTCCAAAGCCACTTCCGCTCCTTCCATTCCAAAGAGCCAAAGTCTGCCAAGGTCACTAGGGATCTCTTTGCTGTGAAAACATTCCCTGGTCCTCTTTGACCTCTGAAATGTTTGACATTTTTCTGCATTCCTCCTTCCTTAGACTGACCCTTCCTCTATCCTACCATCTCCTCATAGACTGGTTGCCACTCATCAGCCTCATAGACCATCTACCCAAGCCTCTTACTTCACAGATGATACAACTGAGGTGCAGATAGGGATGGGCCCTGTACAGGGCCACACAGCAAATCTGAGGACCCCTCACCCCTAGCTCCTCACTCCTAGTCCATGACAATCCCTATCATGACTGTTGGGGGAATTTCAAGTTCCTCCAGTCTCCTCTCCCACATTATCTCTAAACACACACCCCTCAGAAGCTCCAAACATGTAGAACTGCTTCCTGATAATGTAACATTCACTTTCCAACTTCTGTGCCTTTGCTAACATAGCTCCTTTTATCCAAAAGGCCCTTGCTCACTTCACTTGATCACAATGCCACATATCTAGCCTTTTCCAGGAAGTCTTTCTTGAGGCATTGCAGCCTACTGGCTGAGAGCAAGGCCCTTAATCCTAGACTACCAGTTCTGGTGTTTTAAGTCGGAGTGATCTTAAGAGACTTAATTACCTACCCTGAGTCTTAGTTTCCTGGGAAACAACAGTCCCTGCCCCATAGAGCTGTTGTTACCCTTGGATAAGATAATGAAATGAGATCATAAAATGCACGTAGCAGAAGGCCAGGCCCATGGCAGGTGCTCAGTACACCTTCCGATGGGGCCTCATCACTCCTGTCAGTGGGTTGCTTGTGCCTTTCTTGAGCATAAATCTGCTTCTCCTCCCCCCCCAGACATATCACCCTCTCCCAAGCAGCTGCCTATGTGCATGTCTCCCCCTCAAAGTACCTGTCATTCATATTTGCCTCCCAGGACCTGGTATGGAGAAAGAAATGTCCAGTCTTATTCTGTTCCTCCCTTATCCCCTCATCCTTCTCACTCCACCTTCCTAGGCCCAGCCTTGATGTTTCTTTTCCCCTAGGGCAGTGTTTTGCAACCTTTATAAAAAATCTTCTAGCACACTTGAACTTATAGTTAAACTTCCACAGCACACTTAAATTATGTTGATAGGAAAAAAAAAAGAGTAAAAAAATATACTTACTGTGCTTTGAACTTCTTTTGAAAATGATTTAATCAATGGTCTTAAAAAATGTTCACAGGACACAGGTTGAAAAATCACTGCTCTAGGGAATGCTGCCTCCTCTCCTATAGTTCTATGCATGTGACTTCTCTCTCTACAGAGGTGTAAAGTCTCTTGTGCCTACACCCTCCCCACAGAAACCGGCACCTGGGAGCTCTCAATACAGACATGTAGGGTTCAATACCACACCTGCCTGGCTCATCACCCAGCCACCACAGCTGGTGAGAACTATGTACCAGCCCCAAGGCTGGAGGTCACATGCTCCCTCCTGGGAGGGGCCCAAGCCTTTGGGAAGAGCTCCCAGAGGCCACGGGGCAAATATAAGCCTGAGTCCATGGCCCTGTTCTAGTCCTGGTTATTTTTGGCCTGGTGGTGGGTAATGACTGTGCTATTTTAACGTTGCAATTTTACAGATGACCTGGTGCCAGAGTTAGCTGGGGACAGACCATATGCCCAGCTAACTTACAGCTGTGAACATGTGCTCGTTCCTCATTAAGGCCCCCTACCCAGGAGTCAGAGCTGGGCAGGGTGCCCCTGTGCTGCTTCTGTTGCCCCAGGAGACCCAGCCTGGCCAGCATCTGGGACATCAGAGCCAGAGCCAAAGCCAAACACACAGGCAGTAGGAGCCTCTGACCAAAACTCTGGCCTTCAGCCTCCTCCAGCCTGGTGGGAAGATAGCTTCAGAAGCCACCGAATGACAATGTCTCAGAATGGGCCCCTGACCTGGAGTGTGGCTGCTTCTGTGGGTTGTAGTTTCTTTATCTGACAAATGGGTTCAGCCCCTCAGGAGCACCATTAGAAAAAGCTTCCAGATGTGAAAAGTGCTAGGCAAATTTCAGGAGTTAAAGCTGTTGAAACTACTATCAAAAGAAAATAATTTTTAAAATGATAATTGCAACAGCTACTACTTCCTACATACCCATTTTTACTGTAAGAGAAAAATATGCTATGGTGTCTAGAGCAGGAGGTAGGGTTCACAGACTTTCCCAAACCTCAGTTTTCTCACTTTAAAATAGGGACAATAATAATATCCACCCCATGGGGTTGTCATGAGGCTGAAATGAGTTCACACCTGAGGGGGGCTTAGAACCTTGTCTGATATTTACATACCAGGTCCCACCTCACTGTGAGATACTGTCACTACCAATGGTCAAGTGCAAAAAGCTGCAATGTCTCCACAGCCATTTACACATTTTATGAGAAGAGCTGCGGATGTATCAGTGTTCCTATTTTGCAGATGAAAAACCTCAGAGTCTGACCATGACCCTAATTGACAGCACTGGGACTCCAATCCTACACTCCCTTTCCATAGCCCACCTTGCCTCTTCTGACACAAGGCAGGGGTCAGGTGGAGTAGGGTTCTCAAAAGAAGCATCTGACCCTCAGTGGGAAGTGAGTGACCTTTGATTCCTTTAAGCAACATGCCCGTCCTGCAGCCACCAGACTTGTGAGAGACAGAGTCCTAGGATCTAGATAAATGTTGATGACACTTCCTATTGTCCATGGCCAGAACTCTTTCCCCAGATTTCTCCCTCCTAGAATCCACATGAGTGTTCCAAGTCACCTTCTCAGAGAAGCCTTCTCAGACACCATCAGTGTCCCACCCTTGTCTCCTCTGTGTGTACCACTTCCCTGCACACCACCTGCCACTCTGCCTGCTCTGGCCTTGCAGCTGGGGATGCCCTAAGATCTATTCCAGCACTCCTCCACACATGGCTGCAGGGCAAGACACCTCTGAAGAGCACATTCCATGCTGCCTCCCAGAGTCCCCAGCAAAGGATTCAGCTGCAGCAGCCTACAATGCAATGTGCTCTGTAATGTCCACTTCTGGGACTCCTTTCTCTTCTCATGTCTTAATATTTCTTGTGAAATATGTCTTCCCAAATAAATGACTTGCATTCAGACCCTTATCTGTAGAATAACCCAAAGATACAACCCCATCTATAAAAGCTGTCCCCATCACTTCCTCACCCCACTTTATTTTTATTCATTGCATTACCTCTATCCACAGCCATAGTGCTTATCTGTGTCCTTGTCACTTGTCTGCCTCCTCCACCAGACAGGAAGTACTATCAGAGTAGAGACTCAAGTCACTGCAGACTCCCCAATGTCTCTAATAAATATATTATTGTTTGGGGGGTTATTTATAACAACTTTCATTGTAAATATTACAAATAAATAGGAATAGATCTTCCTTTACCTACCACCACAAACCAGCTTTACTGAAACCTTCACCTCCAATTTCTTCATCTCATCTGTTTGGGTTGATAGGTTTGCACAATTTACAAAGGAGGCTATGGGTCAGAGTGATCCCAGAACGTCTGGAAAGACAGGTAGTAAAGGGCTAGCTACCTTTCCAGGCAGCTGGAATAAAAAAAAAATCCCTGGGCCAGGGGCTGAGATAAAATATTTGATGGTCCAGGCCAGACAAAGTGTCTCACGCCTGTAATCCTAGCACTCTTAGAAGCCAAGGTGGGTGGATTGCTTGAGCTCACAGGTTCAAGACCAGCATGAGCAAAAGCAAGACCCTGTCTCTAACAACTAGCTTGGGTATTGTGGCAGATATCTGTAGTCCCAGCTACTTTGGAGGCTGAGGCAAGAAGATTGCTTGAGCCCAAAGTTTGAGGTTGCTGTGAACTATGACACCATGGCACTCAATCCAGGTGAAAAAGTGAGACTCTGACCCCGCCTCCAAATTTGAGGTTCCTGAAGGGATGAGAAAAAGTCATGTGTGGGAGAAGGGGACAGCCCTCTTTCAGGGTCAAGACAACTGGGAGAAAGGAGGCTTGAAGTTCAGTGTAAAAATCCTAGGGTACTGGCTTTGCTGTGTGACCTCAGGCAAGCTGCTGTCCTTCTTTAGGCTTCAGTTTCTCCACAAACAACACAATATTCATGCTAATCCCAGCCAAGGACCTTGGAGAGTAAGGAAGAGGCCACAGTTTACAAAGGCCAAATATAACCTTAACTCTGCTGGCTTCAGTTTGGCCCCCCAAATCAACCACAGGACCTAGGCCCAAGGCCTGGCTACGTCATAGCCCCAACTAAGGCTGCCTTAGGTAGTACCTGCCACCCTGACATCCCCCACTTTTCTAACCTGTGACCACTGCTGTCTCAGGGGCTGCAGCCCAACCTGGGATGGGGCCTGCCCCTAGTTTTTCCCTCGGCCAGAGTGCCTGAGCAATGGGGATAAGCCCCTCCCCTGGGCTGGGAATTTGGAGCTCTACCTCTTGGAAGTCACCAGGGCCAGTGACTCCACTTCCTAAGCCTCAGTTCCTCTAGCTCAAAAATGGGCCTAATGATAAGAATCCTCTGCTGTTACCTCACAGGAGCAAATGCTATAATGGAAGCTAAAACACTCTGTAAAACAATGACAAAAGAAATAGTTACCATTTACTGGACTCTTCCACTATGTCAGGCAAAACACAATTTCATTTAATCCCCACAAAAAGCCTAATGCAGGTACTACCTATTATTTGTAATTTATAGATGAGAAAAGTGAGACTTAACAAGAGACAGGTGGGGCTGTGACCCAGATTACCACCGGCACTAAGGGCTCCAGGACAGACCTCTGGGCTTACTGGGGGTTCAGGGGAGGGGGAGAGGTTCGCCTCTCCCTTCCTCAGAAAGTGCAGACAGACTGAGTCCCCTAAACCTATTTCACCAGCATAATAATCATGTCGAAGAACGAAAGGATAGGCAGGAGGAAGGAGAATGGGGAAGAAGGAAACCACCAAGGAGAAGAGAGGATTACTATCAATAATCTTAACACCCCTGGGAGGTAAAGATTTTTATCACCACATCCCAGATTAAGAAACTGAGGATCACAGAAAGGACAAGTCACTTGCCCAGGACTGAAGAAAGCAAGAGAAATTCTTTTCCATCATCCAAAGTGGCTACCTCGTCCCCTTCCCCAGATTCAGATATGCTTTGAGGCTCCCTTCCCTTGCCCAGCCTGCCCTTCCTTCACAACCACTTCCTGTGGGGCTGCTTACCACCCTCTTTCCCACATCTCGGGGGGGGGGGGGCTTTTCCACTGGAACAGGTCATTCTAAGTCCTTGTGGAATCTCACAAAAGTGTTATATGTGGTACATCCCCAGCTTGGCCAGCCCCAACGGGTCTATGACCCCACCCCCACCAGCAGGCACCAGCCCACGTGCCCAATGCCAATGCCAGCCTCTGCTAGGAGGCGGCCACGGCACAGCTGGAACAGCAGTGTAAGGTGAGAGGAGGGGCAAGGCAGGCTCTCTAGGCCCAGACATGCTGGCATTCCTGGGATCAGGGAACTCAGGCTCCCCTGGTAGAGTCCTGTAAGGCAAAGAGGGAATGAGGGTTGGGGGGAGACTCTGCTGTCAAGCTGTTTTCTAGTGGGGACAGTAGTCCTGGCTTTAGCTCCAAATCAGCCAAGGAAGGGCCTGTGGGACCCAGGCAAGCCACTCTATTTCCCCTCCCAAAAGAGGAGGGACCTGTGCTAGGTTTCTCAGGCCTTAAGGGAAGGTGCCAGGTAACCTGAACCCCGGGGGAGAGAAAGGTGAGGGCGGCTGAGGCCCCTCCCAGACTCCCAGACGCCCCCAGGAGAGGCGGCCGCGCATCTGCTATTCCTCTGGCTGCCCAGGGACTTTGAAAACCCGAGGGCAAGGTGAGAGAGAAAACAGGTTTCAAATATAGCTGGGACGCCAATCTGGCCACTTGGACCCAACTAGAGAAAGGGACCTAGAGGTCTAGATAGCCAGGTGTTGGAACCTCCGGAGACACCCTAGGCCAGGCCTCACTCCTAACTTTAAGTACCTGCGACCCCGGGCTTACACCTGAGAGGGTTTTGAGCATCCAGCGGAAACATGTTGACCCTACGCCCGGGGGTGGTGGGAGGGGGAGCGCCCGTCAATGCTCACGGCATAGGCTTAGGGGTGCGGGATAGGGCATCGTCCCAAGTCCCTGCGCCCACTCCTCCTCCCCCGAGCACTGACGCCGAGCGCCCGCCTCCCGCTAGTAGCCCCGGGCAGTGGGGTGGGGTGGTGCCGGGGGTCGCGCTGGTCTCTTCTCCCAATCCACAACTTCTCCCAGCCCAGTGCCGCCTGCACCTGGGCTCCCCGACCTCGGGCTCCTCCCGGAGCTCTGCCCCTCCTCCCAGCTGAGCGGGGCGGGGAGTGGGAGCACAACTTGACCCCGGACGACCCCTACCCCAGCAGGCCGGGAAAAGGCCACGCGGGGCCAACAGCGCAGGTCAGGCCCCGCCTCTCCCTCAACTTGGCCAAACTCCTGGCGTCTGTGGGAGGCCCCGCGCGCCACGGCTCGACCCCGGCCGGGGCCTGGCGGACGCGCACACACTCACTGCGGTGCCGGCCGCCGCCCCCCCAGCTCTGCTTGGCCAGGCTGGGGCTCCGGATGAGCGCCCGCCCCGCGGACTTGAGGGCATCCATGGCCCGCTCCGGCCGTTGCCGCTGCTGCAGCCGCCGCGGCCAAAACTCCGTCAGGGAAAACTTTCCGCCCGGCCAGGCGGCGCGCGGGAGGCGCACTCCTCCCCTCCCTGGCGCGAGCTCCGCGGTTACGTCCGACGGGGCGGGGTTGGGGGCGGAGCTAGTTAGATCCCCGCCCACTGCCCCGCCCCTGTCCTGAGGCTCGAGCAAGTGCCTGCCCCGACCAAGGCACTGGAAGGTGGTGAGCTGAAAACTCTGGACACCCTTTCTTCCTCCTTCTCCCCCATCCCTACCCGATAGAGCCTGCGGAAGCCGCAGACCTAGGATTTCTAGATAACACGGAGGAAAGATACTTGGAGACCATTTTACACACGGGGAGCCTGAAGGCCTGAGCCAGGAGGGTTCTTGTCCTCCCACAAGAGGAGGGAGATGCCAGGGCAGTGGGAGGCTTACTAGGAACTTCGTTAGGAATGGGGCAGGAGTGTAAGAATTTTCCCTTAGCAAGACTGGCTGGGCACTTTACTCATCCAGTGGCAAGACAGGCTGCTCTCTAGCACCACTTGGGCACACTGTGCTGCCCCCCTGCCCTCCCATCTCCCAGTTAGCTTCCCAGATGGTATGACCTGGGGCGTTATGCTCTCAGGTGTAGGGGGAAGAGGCCTTAGCCTCTGACACTGACTTGCTGTATGACCGCAGGCAAGTCCTTCCTCTCTGTGTGTCTTCTGTTAGAGACAGGGTCTCACTTTGTCAGGGTAAGGTGCAGTGGCACAGTCATAGTTCACTGTAGCCTTGAACTGGTGGGCTCATGGGATCCTCCCAAAGCGCTGTGAACTGCTGTGCCTGGCCTTAGGTTTTATTTTATTTTTTTTTTTTTTTGCAGTTTTTGGCCAAGGCCAGGTTTGAGCCACAGGTGCCACCTTAGGTTTTATTCTTTATCTGTAAAATGAGATGCAATCCTATTTCTAGCAATCCTTCCAACTTGCCTGGATAGCTGTAAGACCTTGACACAGACCCCACCCTACTTCCTAGGAAACACTTAAAGGGCAGACTGTACTCTGGAATTCCTCAACCGCAGATGTCTTAACTCCAGGATTTGAGAGTACTTTTATCCAGGACATAGCCCAGCTCTTCTAGACAGGGGTGCACTAGGCAAGGCAAGCTTCACCCTCTGTAAAGACAACAGGCTCATACTCTGTGCTGGGAGAAAGACAGCGCTGTGCTATCCCCAGCTGGATAGTGAGGCCTGGCTAACATTCTACTCTCTGTTTATAAACTAAGTGCTTTTTTAGCCATTCTGTCCTTTGCTCCTCCCAGCAACACTGTTAGGTGGATAATGCATCTAGCAAAAGACCTACTTTACAGATAAGAGTACTGGGCTGGAGAGGGAACCACTTTGGGGGCTCTAAGAGTCACAGAGGGAATCTGATGCAAGCCGCTAGGCCAGCAGTTAGGGACCCAACTGTCTTCCTTTCAGTGGGCACTTTTTGAATCTCATTTGTAAAAGGGACAACAATACCTATTCCACAGGGCTGTCTGTGAGGATTAAACAATAGGAGTTAGAAAGGCTGAACTTGTGGCCAGGTGCAGGGGCTAACGCCTGTAATCCTAACACCCTGGGAGGTTGAGGTGGGTGGATTGCTTGGAGTTCAGGAGTTCAAGACCAGCCTGAACAAGAATGAGACCTTTGTCTCTACTAAAAATAGAAAAACTAGTTGGGCATCATGGTGGGTGCCTATTGTCCCAGCTACTTAGGCAGCTGAGGCAAGAGGATCTCTTGAGCCCAGAAGACTAAGGTTGCTCTGAGCTATTGTGATGCCACTACACTCTGCCCAGGGCAACAGAGTGAGACTGTTTCAAAAAGAAGAAAAAAAAAAAAAAAACCTGAACCTGTCCTTGAGAACCCACCTTTAAAATTGCCTCCTCCAAGAAGCCTTCCTAGACTACCACACATGGATTAGGTTTCTCCCTGTGGGCTCTCATAGTCCTCATCCTTCATCAAGTATTGCTGCTGCCTGTTTCTACTCTTCTTACCTCTGATTTTGTGCCTTCCAAGGGCAGCAAGTTTTTCTCATTCATTTCTGAAGCCCAAATGCCTAGCAAGTGGTCTAAATGGACTTGGAATACACTCATTGCTCTCCTTCCTTCCTGCTTGTCTTTTCTCCAGCTTTTTAACATACCAGGCTGCCTTCTCCCACAAAGGACTGTGCTAGTGGGTAGGTGGGTCCACAGGGCTGAGCCCCCAGTTCTCTTACCCCAAGCCAGCTGGGTCCTGGTATAGGAGAGTGAGCATTCTGGAATGGGGAGGAGAAGTGGTCACTTAGGGCTGGCTGGCCAAGGGTAGCTGGTGGTGTCCGGCTGGCAGGGGGCACCATATGGGCCTGGTAAGCAGGAGAGCTGTGTGTGCAACGAAGACTGTTTACAGGCCTTCACATCCTCCCGGAGATGACTTGCTGGGAGCTGTCAACCATGCATCCCCTGCAGAGGGGCAGCCTGCCAGTGCCCCTTCTGCCGGCCACAGAAACAGAAGCAGAAACAGAAGGTCTGAACTGTGAGGGGCCTCCTCTGAGGTCACCGTGTCCAAACTCTCATCTCACAGATGAGGAGCCTGAGCCCCAGAGAGTGGCAGGGACTTGCCCAGGGTTACACAGCAACTCAGGACCAGAAGCCATGTCTGCTGGCCTCCCTCCTTGGATCCTTATAACATCTGGGAAGGAGCAAAGAAATCTTGAAAGTACACCAGAGGAGGTTTTAAAGTGATTTTTCTTTTCTGCTTTTTTTTTGGGGGGGGCATTATCTACTTTAACTTTGCAATTTCTACAATGATCATGTATCCTTTAGTAATCAGAAAAAAAAAACTAAAGGGGGGAGAGGAAGTTACTCTGTGGGAGTAACTGACTTTTTGTCTTTAGTAAAATGATATCAGAATGGGGCAGCGCCTGTGGCTTAGTGAGTAGGGCGCCGGCCCCATATACCAAGGGTAGTACATTCAAATCTGACCCCTGCCAAACTGCAACAAGAAAATAGCCGGGCGTTGTGGCAGACACCTGTAGTCCCAGCTACTCAGGAGGCTGAAGCAAGAGATCGCCTGAGCCCAAGAGCTGGAGGTTGCTGTGAGCAACACCACGGCATTCTACTGAGGGCGACACAGTGAGACTCTGTCTCAAAAAAAAAAAAAAAAAAAAAATGGTGTCAGAACTACATTCTCACTGATTTCTCCCCTAGTGGGCCCATGGGACCCCAAAGAGATAGTGGGTACCAGGGAGTTGGCAGGAGTCTTAGCCTTTTCCCAGCTGTCCTTTGGGCTAGCAGTGGGACCAAGACGGAGCCTAGGGTGGGATCAGAAACCCTAGTTTCCTCAAGGGGCCTGTACTGTACCCCCTACACCCCAGGCCAATTCCTTCACCTGTTTTTCCATCTGTAAAATGAGAGTTATCGGAGGAAGACAGCAGAGCACAGCTGCTCTGTTAGACACGTGGATGCTAGAGCCTGGGGTCCAGGGTCCTCTGCTTCTTTACTTCATGGTTTTAGGCAAATCATTTGAATTCCATAGGCCTCAGTTTCCTCAAAAATGTAAGACTGCCCCTATGTTTATGTTCCCTCAACTTCATACATTGAAATCCTAATCCTCAAGGTGACTGAATTAGGAGATGGGCCCTTTGGGAGGTGAAGGGGATTAGTATAAGAGACAGCCTGGAAGTCCCTGGTCCCTTCTGCCATGTGAGGTTACGGTGAGAAAACAGATGTCTATGGACCAAAGTGGTCTCTTACCAGACACTGAATCTGCCTGCGCCTTGATCTTGGACTTCTCAGCCTCCAGAACGATGAGAAATCAATTTCTGTTGTTTATAAACCATCCAAACAGCCCAAATGGACTAAGACAATGAGGATTACAAGGTTTTCCTCAGGACTGAAAGAGTTAATGTTCGTGACATGTTTAGAATTATGCCTGGTATATAGTCAGTGCTGTATATGTTGCATATTTTAATAAAACTGAAACATTTTCTTAACTGGATGAACAATGATGATGGTTATTATTATCGTAATTCTTGGCTAGTCCCCAGGGAAAGGACCTCTTTCTTGGGATTGGAACTAGCCTGGCCCAGTCTCAACTGTGGGTAGACCAGCCTTACCCCAGAACCCCCACCACACCCTCAGCTGGCATGGCAGAGCTGGCCCCGCCCTCCCTTGGGGCCAAGTTTGTGACAGGCCTCTTCCAGGGAGTCAGAGGAGCCTGGGTCACTGGTGAGTCAGGAGCCCCAGGGCTTCTGTTTAGACTTGTCTCTGACCTTTTACCCAAACTGCAGGGCCTTCCTGCCTGCTGTGCCCTCTGACCCAACAGCCCCAACCAGTTGCCTTTGAACCCCTTTCTCCTTAGACCCTTCCCATGCTGCTTTCTCCAGAAACATCCAGCCAGATTGCCTCCTCAACTCTCTCCTTCTTTTGCCCAGAACATCTAATTGTCCTCCTCCCCAATGCTCACAGTCATGGCCACCCAGACCCTAGTGTTCCTTCCTCAGCACACAGTCCTTAACAGCAACTGTTTGACCTTGGAGTTTCACATACCTGGGCCTCAGTTTCTTCATCTGTACAATGGCCATAATACCCACCTTAGAGAGTTTTGTAAGGCTTCTCTGGGATAATTTGTGGAGAATGCTCACCCTGTGCCTGACACGCAGCCAGTGCTCAGGAAACGGTAACTCTGGTTACCGTTCAATTTATGGTTATTAGTGAAGCTATTTGTGTCTCCTGGCAGCTGAGTCTGCCTCAAGTACAGAGGCTGGAAATCATCATTCATCTCAGGGTCCCTGGAGCAGCTGATCCCCACCGCTGTCACAGAGGAGTTGTCCGACTTACGTACCTGAAGATTTGACTTCACTTCGGTCCGCTGGTTCTCAGAATGTGTCTGGCAAGTGGGTGACCCTCTGTGGTTGGAGAAACCCAACAGCACATAAAGAGGCTGTGGGAGGTGCTCCTGGCAGGGCCCCTCAGTCCCTCCCCCTGCAGCCTTCCTTCTTGGTGGGACCAGCAGCTATCTCCTTCCCCTGCCCATGCAACCACAGAGAGATCTCTGGGCTGTGGAGCCTTAAGCTAATTAGGAATGACAACACACCGTGTAATTA